GCCCAGTATTGCCAGGAAATAATTTCTATTCATACTAGATCGGTAAGTGAAAGTTTTGTGTTGCGCGCACCAGATTTTTTTCTTACAAATTCATCTATAATTATCATAAACAAAATATAAATAGAAAAATATAGTTAAAGCTTCACTATTTTATTAAATTTCAACACAATTTTTAAAATTTATTTTATTAAAGTAATTGTGGAGAGTAGTTGAGAGATAAATAGCTTTAGTGACTTGTAGAGCACTCAATCATGGCCGACAAAGAAGGTCACGTTTCCGTCGGATTTGTCATCTCTTCCTCGGCAGGGCTTTGTGTGGGTGACAACTGCTAATGGCAAAATCAGCAGCTCCAAGATTTTGAACACTTCAAGATGTCAAGATCTGAAGATCGTTGCTGACAACTTGTCATATAGAACGGTCGTTTCCTCCCATGGCTAACTCATAATTTTTTTTCTTTGAATTCAGTTTATTAATTTAAAATTCATTTTAACTGAATTAACATTGAACTAGCACGTTTTTGGTGAAATGGAATATGTTGTAATATTATTATAGTAAACATTATATTATGTTTTATATAGAAACAGTTTTTTATATTTTTATTAAACGCCTCTGCCGTTGGCTATTAGGCTATTCGGCTCCTGGCAGCCCAACACAACTCCGCCATGAATCCTTTTCCATACATCTAACTGTACAGCCTCCAATTTATCATTCTCTTTCATCTTCTTTTTAATTGAAAAGGTTACCTTGAGGGATGATTTAGCAGCGACAATTATTCCTGATGCAGCCTGCCTGGATCTCTGCAGTTTATAAGTTTGATATCCCGGCAATTGGTAGAACTGGATATTTTCAGTGGATGAGCCGGCTTCTACGATCCCATATAAATCAGCATCCTCCTTTGTAATAATCGTCTTCCATTCTTTGAATTTGTCAGCAGTTAGGCCACCAGCGTTCCTGAACATCCTTAAGCTGTGTGTTGACTGGGCCTTTTGGTTTCCTTAATTTTGATGGATTCATATTTTTGTGGATTCTATGATGTTGAACTGTCTTCGCGGCGACAATATTGCTCATTTAGATATAACCGGAGGGCACGTATACAACGAGCAAAGTTACCCAATTTTTATTAAAGCTTTTTAGTTTAAATTTTTAACAGCTGTATATAGAAACATAAAAAGCATATCCTTTTTAATTCTTCAATTAGAAACATATCAAAATAAAAAGAACCTGTACCACTACAATCCATGAAAGGTCTTGGGTTCAATACTATTTAGGGAAAGCACTGTTTCTTGGTCTACTGTTGTGCAAGGAACTGATTTGACCGAGATCACACTCAACCACCAGATTTATCCCCTTGATTAATCATTTTAATTAAGAGTACCCACTTTATAGAGGCTGGGTATGCCCTAGGAGGGTCTATCTACCCAGGGTCGCCCCAGGACCTATGAAATAGAATAAATAATTTTTCTGACATGAGCCGGGATTCGAACCTTGGACCTATAGCATTGGAAGCTCAGTAATTAGGAAGTTAATGCAGAGGAATTATCATATTTATATTAATTTTAATATATTTTGATGCAATGGGTCAATATATATATAAAAAAAAAAATATTTTACTGTAGATTTTAAAATCGAGTAATCATAAGGATCATACGTCCTTCTAACCGAAAAGTTTAGAAGTTATCCCGAGCCACGGGAGAGAGCAACGGATTATTGACAGAGCTAAAAGTCTCTCCCCCTGGCACCAGGATTCGAACTCGTAATCTTTGGTTGTCAGACAACGCGGTTTTAAAACTCGCTCGGCCACCCCCTCCCCAAGGGAATGTTCTTGCTTATCTAATTAAACACTTTGGTAGATTGTTAGGAAATAATTGACATAAAAGAATATTTAAATTTGGTATAATAGTCGGGTGCCTCCTATCTTCCGAACTCAAGACACTTGAGGATGAGATTTTGACATTCACTGGTACATGAGACGAAACCTACTTTCCTGAAGCCGTAATGGGTATTGGAAGACACCTGACTAGACACGTTAAAATATATATATATATTAAAGAATAAATAAATAACATTTTATATTTTCGATTCGATATAACTAATCAAAGTTGATTAATCTTTAGATTTGATTTGTTTAAATATTTTCATTGCTGATGGAGATCTGAAATTAATCTCTATTGATCTTCATTTCGAAGAGATTACAATTCCTCCTCTAAGAAAACTTCCGTTCAGACCAGAGATATTGCAGGAGGAGAATGTCCTACATCTTATGGTTGCAGAAGACCCTGATGAACCTTGCGACATCTCGTGCCACTGTCTTACCCTAGATCTGTGCCTATTATGCAACTTACTTAGTCCTCCAGTTGAGCCTTGGCTATTACTTCCCAAGGAATAAGTGCTGTAATAATATCCCGAAATCGGACTGAATAATTTGAATAAACATAGACTTTCTACTTCTTCAAATAGAATCACAAAGATAAGGTATGCAAAGAGAAAGTACTGTAATCGTTTTAAAAACTGTCCCAAAGGAGAGAACAACGTATTAAAAAAAAAGAAGTACCCTTTTAAAATCTCTTCTCTTTACGGCTTAATAGTACTAAAAAGTATTACCTACATATTTTATTGAATGTTATTAACGGAGAAGAGGGGGTGGGGAAAGATTTTAGTCAATTTTTATGGTCCAGTCTCTAAAATTTACACAAAATATTTTTATTTTATCAGATACCATTTATAATGTAGATTGGAAAATATGTTGAAGATAATTTCAACACCTAAAATAGTTTTAAAACGACTTAATTGAAACTTGTTAACTGAAAGTGATGAAAACATGAGGTATAGAACAAAGATCACAAAGAAAGTGCTCATCCAACTCATACTAACCCAAACATTCAAAACCGGTTGAGATCCATTTTGTTACTCTTGAGATAAATCTACATATTGAGATATCTTAGCTTTCTTCCACCTACTTAACTATTCAATAGACAAACCCTAACTTTAATCACCTGCTAACAACAATAGAACGGATATTTGAGCATTCCAGTTGACAGAATGACTAACTCCGATTTCAACATTTTTAATTTTTAATTTTAGTACTATTTCTAGTAGGAATATTTATACCTTCATTCACAGTTCTATATTTCAACACTGAAATCAACTTACTCACTGTCTGTACAAATATTATAAATTTTCAACTAGAAATATCCCTAAATTGACTTTGCTCAAAAATTAAACGGCCCTCAATATTTCGAAATAAACTAAAGCACAATAAAATATTCCGAAGTTCATATAATTAAGATAAGGAGGGGTTTCTAGAAGTTGGCTTCATTGCTCAAGTTGCACCATACAAATTTTTTGGGAGGGATCAAATTTTGACGAGTTTTATGAATTTTCGGAATGAAAAATGTCGAATTAGGGGACAAGGAAAAACATGGAGCAAAGTACAGCGAGTTTGGTTATATATGATCTATCATTTTTTAAATTATACTTTCGCTTACATTATTTTTAAAACAGAGAGCAATAAAATATTTTTGGTGGAGGGGGGTAAGGTTCATGTGTTATTAATCTTAGGGGTTGGGGATTGGATCCCTGAAGAAATGAATGTTATTTTAGTATTGTTTTTTCTATTACTAAAGTTTTTTGATGTTAAATGAAAATTACAAAACGTTATGTTATCCTTTAATTAAGTTTTTCCGCAATTTTTCAAGCAAAAACCTTAAATAAAAGAAATCTAACAGGTATAATAATTACATTATCAATCTGAGCCGAAGATCTTAAATAATTTTTACGAAGATTAACCGACATTTTAAAAATAATTTAGGAAAAAAAATAAACAAAATTATATATGTTTTTTTCTTTTTTTGGCTTATAAAATATAACCATATTTTCTCTTATTGGCTACTTGAAGAAGTATATCCTTTTTTCTTTTTTTTGTTTATATTTACTTTTGATTTTAGTTTTCATAGTGGATATTATTTTGTATATAAATAATAAGGACAATTGAGGAGCTAACTGAAAGAACATGGTTATATTATAAACATATATTTGATCCGGGGATAAAGAACACCATGCCCATTTTTTTTATTAAATAATTTAGTAACTAAGAAACAAATTTTAATAGCTCAAAGCTATGGAAAATTGGCTCTTCTAAACAAATACAAAAAAAATGTGACAGGACGTTCACGATAGGACATTTGGGGTACAGATATGAGTTAGATGATTTTTTATTCCTTATATAAACTCAATTTATAATTTTTTTTCATATTTAAGGCAATAATACTTCCAATTTTCTTCAAATTCTTTTAATTACATTTGTTATCTCTAACGTTCCGCGACAATTTTCCCATGATCAGAGCAATCTTTATCTTCACTTTATTTTTTTTTTATGTGACACCATTTGTCTAAAATCAAATATTTGTCACATTTTTAAAAATATTTTTTTGGTGTTACACATCTTTTTATATTGATTGATACACTTACCAACATCTGGTTATCTAGATAGATTTAAAAAATGTGATAATTATTTGATTTTTGACAAATGGTGCCATCATCATCATCAGAATGATGGGAAAATTGTCCGGAAACGTTAGAGATAACAAATGTAATTAAAAGAATTTGAAGAAAATTGGAAGTATTATCGCCTTAAATATGAAAAAATTATAAACGTAGGTTTCTTAATAAAAAAAGAAAAATAAGAAGAGTCAATTTATAACTTTTGAAAACTAATAAAATTTTATGTTCAGAAAGAACTACGTTGAAAAATGTATTTAAAGTATTAATTTCTTAAACATGCAACACATTCTTACAATCTTCAATTTTATTAATGCTCACAAAATGGCCAAAGATAAAATATGATAAATAACAAAATATTCAAGACTGACTATCATATTATATATTATTATAAGTTACGACGTTTCGTTTTTTAAAAAATCTTCATCATCATCGAGACATTTCCCAATAAATTTATTCACACATAATTGAACATCAACTCCTTTAAAACTATAAAAATATATTCAGACACCCAAAACATCCAAGCGATCCAATGGATTAGGTAACGTGTAAGTTTCTCCAGGACCAAATAGAGTCCTGCTGAGGCCTGGTAAAAGTATATGGAAAAAAAGGATAAATAATGGAAAACTAAGACCTACCATTGGCCAGCCAGGGAGCGTCCCTCGCCCCCACTAAGAGGACACCCCTCTCGCCGGACGCGGAGAAGACCAGTGCCGCGGCGAAGACGGCTAAGACAACGACTAACAGCTGAGGACCCATTTCGGCCCGCGGTCGGAGTGGTACTGCCGCTGCCGCTGCCTGATGCCGAGCCGCAGCTCACTTTCGAAACGGGTAAAAGCTGCTTTTTAAATAACCGCCGGGTGGAGAAGGCACAGCTGACTTGATACTTGATACTCCGTTCTACTTGATCTATTTTCATTTATATAGTTCTTGCATTTCCTAACGAGGAGTCGAGGCCGATCACTTCCTTTCCTGCCTGTTCTCGTTTTGCGTGAAAGTCCACTCCTAGCAGCGAGATGAGGATTTGCCACTGATTACTCGGCTCTTTATTGGCCAACTCATTTTATAACACTAGTTTCAAAGTAGTTTTTATTTTTTTTACAGTTGATGTTGCTCAATTAGAACGAGAATTTCATCACATTTTTAATAAACATAATGAGTTATACTGTCCCCATACAAAAAAAAATAAAATAAAAAATACTTTTGGAGCAAAAGAGTTGAAATTAAGTATGTATGGTTGCTTTCAAGGAAGAATAATAGATGCGGAGCAGAAGAAGGATCAGTATTTATTGTTTTTGGGGCTAACCTTTTTCAATATTTTATTTATTTATCTTAATATACGTTAAAGGAACAAAAAGTGGTATTTGAGTCATCAAACCTAAACATTGGTAGTGTGTTCACTGAAGTGTAGTAAAAAGAGAATACATTGTGAATATTTAAGAATATTATTCAGACCAGTCAGAGCAGCAAATATGAACCAATGAAAAAATAAATTATTTTATTTTTTTTTGTATGGAGCTAATTAAGCCTGAATGTCTCATCCCTTGATGTGTTGTGAAGCTAAGTTTTATTAAAAATTTTGGGATGTTATAATGTTTTGGTTTTCGAGCATTTTTTTTTTGGTCGCATTTATGAATCCTGAATTAGAAGTTGAAAAATTAAATGTGAACTAGTTTGATGTTAAAGTGCCTTTAGGGGAACTCTAAGAAGGAATCCAGCAGTCCAGCTGTTTTCAAAATCGTATTAAATTTTCTCAGGAAAAAATGAATAATTTATCTGTTTTCGAAACCAAAATTTATGTTTACAACTTCAGAGGCAGGGCTTTGTGGCACATGCTTTTTTTATTGTTTTCATAATTTAAAAGTTTGGTAGAGGTATTATTCGTGAACAGTACAAAATTTATGGAAAAAATCCCATTGTTTTTACTAAAAATTCACTCGTTTTAAACTTTTATTCGTAAAACTTTTTTGTTGTAATTTATTTCGCTAATAAAATTATTAATATTACACACATCCTATTTTTTGTTTTTTTTTTGCTTTTCAATGAAAAATAAAGATTATTACTTCTTTCATAAATGTTATTATTTTCACTAATGTTTACTACTGAATTGATCATTTTTCTTGATCCAGTAGACATGCAATCTATCGGTTTGAGCCTCAGTACAAAAAGAAAAATCATGGCTGTAGGCAACAAAATTAGGCTCTATTGAAGAAACAATAGAGAACAGATACGAAGTGTAGGAAGCAGTTTTACTTATGGGTAGGATCACTTTAAGGAAAGTGGGAAGACCTACATACAGGTCACTGTAGACTGAATATACACTTTTTAGTTTGGGGTTGAGAGATTTACTGATCTTCAGGTTCTGTAGTTTGGAAATCTGATACTCTAGCTAGAATACGAAACTTTCATTTTAGCTGTGTCCACATTGCAGATCCTAAGCTTAACGACATGGTTTACCTAAAAGACATATTTATACACACTGAGGTTATCGAACAGGTTTAACAAACTATAGGAAGATCTCAATAAGATCGCAGAGCAGCCATGTTGGAAAAAATACCAACAAAAAAACCTAAAACGAGTCCTTTTCTTCGAAACTATTAGCGCCACTGTTTTGAGATTTTATATCAAAGTCAGAGATCACCCGAGGATGATGCTTCCAACGTTATAAGCTGCCATTTTTGTATCAAAACGGACCGTACAATTATGTTTCTACAAACTGCACCGTTAAAATCTCGATTTTAATTAATTTTAACTTGCCCATTTATCTTTATGACATACTTTCTCGCAAAGAAGCTGATTAATAATTATGCTGAATGCAGAATTTTCAAATACCTCATAAAATACACATTTTATTATGATTTTTATGCATGTATACCTATTTTAATGCTAATAGAGTTGGAGGGACATGTCTGGTTTGGAGTTCTCTCACCAGATTGTAAATATTGTATATAGGTATGTATGTGTTCTTTTTATTTATTTATTTTTAGGTTATTTCATTCTTATTTATTGTATATATATTATTTTTCTGTATAATTTATTGTACATAGAGTGTGAATGTGATCTCTGAACACTACTATAAGTGTCCTTGAGACAGATTGTAATATTTTTCAATAATAAGTTTAAAAAAAAATGGAAATTACCTTAAAAAATCATCGAGATCGAACAACTTGTGCAAAGAGGATATTTTTGTTTTGTTATTTGATAACTCAAAAACTTCACATCTAGGGATACATTCGTGATTGTAATTTGTATAATAATTTAATTGTCTATATTTCTTAACAAAAAGAATCAAAGATCTTGACAAGTAAAATAGTGTGCCATGTCAGCCATATTTGATGTGTAACTATTCGGAAAAATATACCATTGTTATTGATAGTTTGTAGAGTTTTTTCTGTCTTTTTTTTATTTTTTTATTAAAGGTTTCAACCACTGTGGTCATTATTGCCTTATTTTCATTGAGAATCAGATTGTATTTTGAAGTTTCGAACATTTCAGAAAAGAAAATAATTTGTCAATTTCAATCGTATTGTCCTGTAAAATGATGTGTAGATCGTTTGTCAAGTCACAAGATAGTATAAATGTTTCTTAAGCTCTGCATTCTGTTAAAATGTGTTTCACTATCAGAGGAGTCCCACAGGTTTGGCATGTTGGCGAAGAATCACGGGCCATCAGGTATCCGTGAGTAAGGCGTGTATGACCTATACGCAGGCCCGTTTTCATGTCTTTAAAAACATTTTTGTAATTACAAACTTTAGAAGCATGGCTGTAAAGTTCAATTTTTCATTTGGACGTCATTGAGAAAGACTAGATAATACTTTTAGTTTTTTTTTCTGGTTAGGATTCCAAGAATTCACTATTGAAGTGACGCCTCTTCCTGGTTCCTCTACGAGCCTAAAGTAATTTTGTAAGGAAAATGAATCGTGGAGAAACTAGCCGCTGGTAGCAGTCCGAAGATTGTTCTAACCAAGAGGTGAAAGGCCACTGTAGGCTCTTCTAAGGATTATCAAGAATGGATTGGACACAATGATTACGAACCAGAGGTTTCGGGAAGGCATCGGGTTTATAACGTAATGATGAAAATTAGAAATCTTTGAAGAAGAAAAAATAATCATATAGTATTTTAGGTAGAGTTCGTCTTTTGAGAATTAAACGGATGAAGAAGAAGCGATAATTCGAAATAAATTTATAATGGTGAAGAAACATAAAGAAAATATGGAGATATATTTTATTGCAAAAATATTAATAATTTATTTGTTAAATTTTTAGCATTGTTTTATTTTTTCTTTCTATATTCATGGAATTACATTGGTATATATAGGAATTTAGTCTTGAATTTCTAGCATTCGATTTTGTATATTTTTTTTTCTTCTACAAAATGTATATGTTATATAGTGGTAATGGCTTAATGTAATTTATTAGTGATATTTTATAGGACTAATGTTGTAAAAAGGGAGGGAAAAATATAATAATGTAATAATGAAATGTTAAAGTTATGTCCACATGGTATGCTGTGTATAAAGCAACCTTACTATTGTTGCCCAAAATTGGTCTTAGTCTTGCACTTTGCAAGACCAAGACCACGACCACTACCGCCTAATTGTCTCATATCGTCGACTTCAGGTCCCTTTGATCGAGAGAGGATGAGTTCATAATGTTTATCAAAGGTGTTTTTTTGTCGGTAGGCAGTATCATCATTAATTCTTCATCAAATTCACAAGATTGAGTCACCAATTTTGAAGGTTTCCTACTCCTTCAGGCGGGAAAAATAGTCCAATCACCAAGAAAATTGAGGAAAAAAAGTTATGAAAGAAAAGAAACTTTATTTACGAACAACTCAAAAATTAAACGCTTTTCCCTTATGCCAATTATAATATAAACGATTACTAAATTTGCTACACAAGGCAAAAAAAAAAATCATCGAAATCTGACAATCGTAAAAAATTTATAAACATGTTGGTTCTTATTGTTGCCCAAAATTGGTCTTGGTCTTGCACTTTGTATGACCAAGATCACGACCGCCTAACTGTTGCAAGAACAGCACTGGTAAAAAAAATCGATTTTTTGAATAAAAATTAATGCAAAATAGTTACTAATACTTGACAATTTTAGTTACAATATGTAAATAATTGGTATAACCAATATACTTTTTGCATTTAACTCTTCTAATTTTTCATTCAGGCTTAGTTAGGTTTCCCCTATCTAAAAAATTACCGTGATATCTCTATAGTAATAAGCTAATATGTAACTGCAAGACTGTTGCTAGACTTGCGCAAGACCAAGACAAAGAGGAAGATGAAGTGCGCAAGACCAAGACTCGTCTTGATCTCGCATTTGGTCTACACTAAACCCTATGTAGTAGGGCAGCATTACTTTCAATAAAGTATTTCTCTCTCTTTTAATAATGATGAGCTTTTAAATTAATTAGTAGTATGAAAAATTTACCAAATAAATGTTTCAACTGTCGAATTATTTTTGTCATTTTACTTTTGAATTATTCAATGCGAATTCCATTTATGAGATGTTGGGTATTTTAGAAGATATCTTAAGGAGTAGACCTGTTCAACTTGTTCGGGCGGTACACGCTCTAAAGGGGAACCAAAAATAATTGCCTAATATTTTTTTTTCACTACTTCTTTCCCTTTAAGAAGAAAAACAATCCTAAATATGGAAATACTTAATCACCAAGAATGTTTAAAAGGTACAAAAATACAAAAAGAAAGCTTTAATTGATCTGTAGTGCATATGTTTTTGGCTTTAATATAGGTATTAGTAGAACAGAATTATTAATTAAATTTTCAATTACTGAAATAAAAAGTATGGTGGAAATAGTTTCTTAATTTGGAATGATAGTTTCTTAATTCTTTATTCGGAAATGATTTCTTCTTCTCAAACTCTAACTGAACTACAAATATATATCAATAACAAATATATATCTCACTTTTAGGAAATCTTTTAGAATTTCTTTCCTAAGTTCTAAGGGAGATTATTTTGTATATGAGGTATATGAAATCTAATTTCTTTCCCAAAATTGTATTTATTTATTTGTAACGTTTCGTAATTATGCATCCCATCTTCAGATTATTATCTGTTATCCTCTCTTAATTCATGAGGATTGTCATAATTTTTCAATACATGATAATTCCTCATTTTTAAGAGTGCACCCTCTACTCTTAGTGAAAGCCTAGTCAGCAACTGCTGGAGAACCCACATTATTCTAAAATATAAAGAATTAAACAAATGATTATTTTATGATAATTCAAAATTAGCTTTAAATAGCTAACTTTTTATAAAGTTTTGATAAAATCTATATAGAAATACAGTACAGAACTATGCAGTTCTTCTAAAACCGCCAGCATCCGAATATTTTTGTTCTTCAGCCAAAAGGATTACGTAAAATATTAAACTCACCATTTATGTCACAATAGACTATCCCTATAATTTCAGACATTCCAAAAGAAAATTACAAAAACCAAAGAATGCCGCACAAATTAAACCCGCCAACAGAAAATGATACTCGACGCACATTCATATAAAGACAATTTTTTAAAATAAATACCTCAAAAAATAAAGTAACTATAGTAAGTTACAAATATAGTCCGTGGTACAAGCCACCTCCCCCTTTTTTTGATCAAATTATTAACATCCGCCTAAAATTTCGCCAATAGTTTCACCTCATCGTAACCTACAACCTTTTTATTAATGAAACTTTTCGGAGTTTTCAATCTGGAGAAGTTTGTCTATTTAATTAGGTATTAAAAACTCAAGAACATCCATTTACTTCCAACTTGAATAATAAGAAGACTTGATCACAAAATCGAAAAAAAAAAATGAAGGTGACCAACAAAAATATTGAGCCGTATGGGGTGACCTCCACATGTCAAAATAATAACGAAGTTATATAAGTAAAACGGTAAAATATTTTTGTAAGTCACCTTTTTTTCGATTTCGTGATCATATCATCTCACGATTCAACAGAAAAGCAAATACTTATTAGTTTTAGTACCTGATTTAATTAATTAATCAATAATTAAATTATTAAAGCATTTAATTAATTGTTTTAATTGTATATAGATATGACTGTGTTTTTAATTTACTTATCTTTAGGTTATTTTATTTTTTATTGTACAAAGTTTTTTGATTATTATTTTACTTTTGTTTATTTTATTTTTTCTGTATATATGGTGAAAATGTGTTCATATATCACTATAATTATTGTCCACGAGACAGATTATTATATGTATAAATAAATTTTAAAAAAATTTTAATTAGAAAACGCCTCACTCCTGAAAATTTTCGTAGATAAAAAATTTATAGGTTACGATAAGAGGAAGCCACCATTCACGGAGTTTTAGGCGGAAATTAATAATTTGATGAAAAGAGGTTTGTACCCCGGACTGATACAAGGAGAAAAAGGTTTGTGCGATCTTAATAAACAAGACGTTTTAAGATCGATTCAATTCAAATGTATTAAACGAAACCTCAATGATCTGTGTCCGCCTTCATTAAGGAATACCTTATAAAGGTTACTTTCGATTTTAAGTGGCAACAGTAACAATGTGAAAGACTTATATAAGTTATCTTTTGTTTTAGAATGGATTTAACGGTAACTTAAAGCGAAATGTGTTCTTATTTCTAAAAGAGATATTACGATTTACTATTTCTTGTTACGATAGAATATTAGCACATGGTATATCTACTTATAGCATTGTCTGTTCCCATGATCAGAGGTTTGTCGGACCACCTAGAATATTACATTATATAATTAAAACCAATGACCTAAAATAAAAAATAAAACTACATGTTCAACTGATTAGTATACCATTAAAGATTATTGTTAGTAGAGTGCATGGACTATTCAAATTCTACAATGGAATGAGGTTATTCAACTGCTACCATGATAATAATACTGACTACATTCCTCAATTATTAAAATAATGTGTTTTTATTAGAGTGATATTAACAGAATTAAAAAAATGTTTGTTATTTGAGAGAATAAAATGGTCGAGAGAAATTTAAATAATTTAGTTAGAATGTTATTAAATAGTCCTGCAATGGGTTATTACAAGAGTGATTTGAAAACTTTACGGAAAAGAATCGAAGAATAGAGTTAATAAATAAAAATAAAGAAAAAGTATAATATAAAATTCGAAAAGGAATCATTAAAAAATATATTAATAACAATAGAATCTTGAAATATGTTAAAGAAGTGGCTGTTATGTGATATTTAGAAGGCCTCGCCTCTTAGACTTAACCATCCAATCTATTAATATCGATTATTTGAGAGAGATTATTAATAAAGATGTAAATAGATGGACCAAATAAATTTTAGAATTCGTATATAAAAAACTGAAACAAAATAATATATTTCTACTTTTAAAGTTATAAAAGGAAACCATTAAATAAATTTCATAAGTATAACGAAATCAGACAAAATTTAGGATTAATAAAAAATAAGTGGTGAGAGCAGCCATGCATTTCACTTGCAAGGGGGAATCTCATAATGGGGTATTTTTTGAATTAGAATAATACAATTATTTTAAAAAAGAATAAATATTTTTTGATCAGACGCTAAAGTAATTGTTTTAATTTAAAAATGATGATGATTTTATTTATATTTTAAAGGCAGGGACCCACAATGGGAACTTTTTAAATTTTAAGATAAATTTATGCAAATAAAACTTTTTCTTTTTTTACCAGGCTAGAAAAATATTAATTTTTTATTAAACAATTGTCATTTTTAAATTTTCTTTTCAGAGACTACCATTATTATTTTTTAATGAATAACTTCATTGCAACAATATACATATAATTATTTTTACCATGAAAAACATAGGTTGTTTTATTTATATTTTAATAGGTCGGGCTCCACAATAGGCATTTTTTTAATGTTAAATGGATGTTTTTATTTTCTTAATTAGAAAAGAACATTATTGTTTTTTTAAACAATTGAATAGCTTAATGTCAACGGCGGACATCTGTCATTTTTAAAAAGTAGAGAAAACCCTTTTAAAAATTATCTTTAACATCATAGCTTCAATTTAAACCAATTCAAATAATTTGTTTTCATGATCCAACTTGAACATTTTTAAACAACTTGGAGTTGAACCAAGAAAATAAAAAATTTCTGTTAAGAACGTGGAGCCCATTTCTTTTTGTTTATTATTGAAATCAGACTTATTGTTTCATTTATTTTTTAATTTTTGGCCAAAAGAACGGCATATTTTTTAAAAATTTAATAATTTTTTTTAAATAAGTTTTTTTTTTTAATCCAACGTGAACCTAACTATTTTTAACAAACAATAGCCTTTTTTATATTTTCTTTTTAGGTAATGGAGCGTTATTTATTTTAAAAATACATCATTTTTTATTTAATCATAAGTGAATGTAATTGATGTTTATTTTATAAATTGATATCTAATTATTATTATTATTGTAATTCTTTTTTTAGAGGAAGTCTTCAAAATAATTCCACCTAGTTCTTCCAATTTATATTTCAAGGATTGAAAAATGTCCAAACATTTTGAAAGAGATATGTTTTGTAAGATGATCTATTCAATATTGGCAACTGAGGTACATAATTATACACTAACATGTGCTCTTCTCTTCTTCTGCCATTTCAAACATTTTTTTAATTCTCTCATCTACAATACTAGGCCCATTACCGCTCTCTGGATAATAAGTTGAAAATTTGTACCATCCAAGTCTTGCTCGATATCGGAATATATTTCGTAGTCGGAATCGACGACTTCCGCCTCCTCGTCACTTCTCTTGACAGATGGTGGCTGGAGGTTAAGCCTTCGAGGGGCCCTCTCTTCTCCAGGAGGTTCGGTGGATAAGTCCTCGATTCGCACTTTTTTCCATCCTTTTTGCCAGAAGACAATCACTGAAAAATGGGGAAATTCATTGAGATGGGTCTTTAAATGATTAAGAGTCATTGGAGTATGAATAGGCCTGTGATTTAGATATCTGTAATAATGTTTTATCTGATAAATCTAATATAGTTTTCTACAAGGCATTTAAAAGTTTATGGAAGGATCCAGAGTTTCATTGACTTTATCATATTTCACTGCCATTTAATTAAAAAATAACTCAATAAACCATTCAAGTAATATTTATATTATATTACAGGTAATAAACGATTGGTGATAAATGATTTGTCTACTTTTTCTATGATGTCTGTGAAACCAAAGAAGAGTCTGGATTTCATTCAGAAAAAGTTTGCATGAACTCATTTGGTTTCAAGTTTTTGGTGAGCCTTGATGTAAAGAATAATTAATAAGATTTATGAAAAATATCGTTCTTAAGGGCCAAACTTTAGAGGCTGATTCTAGACAAAATTTTCAATAAAAAAAGTTCGTTTGATGAATGGACCGATCCCAACAGAAAAGGAGTTAAGACCAATTTTGTTTTTATCTTAAAGTGGTCACGTTTTTCATAGAATAAGCAGAAATTACTCAAAAACTGCTCAAGATAATTAAATTCTAAGCACATCACCGTAAAGTAGACAAAATTTTCTTTGAGAGAACCGTGATTAAATTTACTAAGGCCTATGATAAAAGGGACTACTAGGCACTAGCGGATTCAGGATTTAATTTTGGAGAGACTTCAGCCCGAAGGATTTTTTTTCATATACATATAACGAAAATTAATTTGAAAGAAAAAAGAGAGAAATTAACTACCTATATGAAATGGTGTTTAAGTGGTTCTTGAAGTCCTATTAAATGTAATTACAGAAAGAAGAATACTTTAAGAGATGGTTTTTAATATTTTTTTTTCTGTAAAACACTGTTATATTTTACCATTTTGGGTGGGCTTCAGCCCGAAAGCCCCCACCTCCCCCCGTAGATCCGCCTGTGATTTAAAAATAATTAATAAGATTTATGAAAAAAATCGTTCCTTATTTCCAAAAACGTGTATAAATACTTTAAACATGGTTCAGTTCTTAAGTCCAAACTCTGAAGGCTAATTCTAGACAAAAATTTCAACAAAAAAGTTCATTTGATAAATGGACCAATTCTGAACAGAAAATGAGTTACGACCAATTTTGTGTTTATCTTAAAGTGGTCACTTTTTTTATAGAATAAGAAGGAATTGTTTAAAAACCGTTGAAGATAATTAAATTCTAAGCACATCATCGTAAAGTAGACAAAAATGTCTTCGAGAAAACCGTGATTAAATTTACTAAGGCTTATGATAAAAGGGACTTTCATGAGGTCTAAGAAGCAAAGCCTATTATTATGCCGAATTATTTCACAAATCGGAATTATGCTGCTCTGGTATGAGTACTATAACTACAAGAAGTGCATTAAAAGTGTTGAAAGTCTCTTCCATCATTGACCTTAGTAAATCTCGTCAGTCTTATGATGGTGTACTTATAATTTAATTATTTGAACACTTTTTGAGAAATTCTTTCTTATTCAATAAAAAACGTGACCACGTTAAGCAGACTATCTAACGGTTAGTATTCCACTTTTCTCATATCAGAGGAGATAAAGAAATAAATTTCTCAGATCCGCTGACCAAAATAATAATTAATTAAAGATCTCAATCCAAACCACATTGAATCCGGAGCTCTGCCAAAACGGTTCAGATATAGCTTATTTCTTTTTGTATATTCCAGCTTCGGTATTGATAAAATTCAAAACAACTAAACAAGCTTAATGCCATAAACTAAGCAATTTCGAAGTAACCTAAGGATTTAAATTAAATCTTCAAGTAACGTTGAAAAAAGTAAAACCATATTGAGACCAATATAATAAAAAATAGTAATAAAACACGCTATTAAAAAAAACGATGCAAAATATTTTATGTGTACATAATCCTCTTATTGGACTTGAATCTTGCTCTAATTATAAAACTACAGTTCTAGCTTTCGCCGTATCATGATAATGTTACAAAACTTGTTGATCTATTACGACACTGAGGATCGAAACCAGACTTGAAGAATTCCTGAACAGGTCGAAGAAGTGGTTTAGATCCAGTTGCAGATCAATCAATAGGTTACAAGCTGCAATTGACTCTAACAGCAGGAAACAGTTTGTATTACAAATTACCTATGTGATAACAATAATCATCATTTTTATTTTATTTACTCCATGTTATATATTTGCGTTTAAATTTTCGTAAATTTCAAATTCTTTTAAGACGGCCAATTTATATGTTTATTTATTCCTAACACGTTCGCGTTAGAAACTGCGAGTTAATTCGTAGAACTTTTTTTTTTACCTACCCTATATACGAACACACTCGTAGAATTTTCATGTTCTTTGAAGGTACATGAATTATTTCAGCAACACAGAAAAGGCTATGAATAGTAAAGTCAGTAGTGAAGCATTAGACAGAGATGGATTATTAACATAGCTTTTGTGAAGATAATTAAGAAATGAAATGAAAATAGATTTTTATTATCCTGGGACTGTTGTCCCTTTAGTACAAATTATAGATACAGGGAAAATGCCTGTGTGGCCATAAAATTAAATGAAATAATTAAAATTCTCATTAAAAATAAAATATTGAAAGAAAATGAAAACAAATACACTAAATGTATACAGATATATATAATACAAACATATGAAAATTAAATAATATAAGTAAACAAAATCATTTCTGGGAGAACTTAAAAAGCTCCCTTATCAACTTTTTTTGATCAGTTGGGTTGCGAAAGAAGTAGGTGCTTAAAAAGGAGAGATTTAAATGAGGAAACTGATTGCGCATGTTGGATATCGGGAGGTATTCCAGATGGAGACGGCTTGAATTATAAAGGATTTGTCAAACGCAGCGGTGAGGAGGTGGGTAGAGGTCAGAAGTAAGAGATTATTTCAGAAAGATTATTTTCATTAAACAGGGAAATCGTACTCAAGAATATTCTAATTTAAATACCTCAGGGAATGCCTCCACAATATTAATAAATAAACAACGTCCAGGAATAAACCAGAGTATACCAAGAGCAAACGGAGCTTTTTTCTCTCTTCTAAAGGCATTGAAATCCCTATAGATCTCAAATCTAATAAAAATAATAATTGTTTTTTATCTAAAATATCTATATTGAATAAAATAGATTAGTAACCTCTATATGAGTTAGTATCAAACCTCAGGAGCATAGAGCTACCGGACTTGACGTGACTTAAAGAATGGAAACGACAATAAATCACGCAGGAGTAGTGCAAGGTCGTGCCGTGGGATGGCCGGCAGAATGTACAGGCTTATCGTAACAGGATGCAAAGAAATCCATAATAATGGAACAGCTGTTTCATAAGGTACAGCTCATCCGAAGAAACAACAACTACGGTTTGTGATTGAGATGACACGATAAAACTGAAAACATCATGGTGGAATTAATGTTATGGTGGAAACGTTTTTTGTTGTTTATTCACAAAGTAATAAAATTTACAATACATTGTTATAAATTAGTAAAAAAATAATTGAGAGACAGAACGTGAATGTTAGGTTATTATTGCAAAAATAACAAACCACACAGCCTTATCTCTCCAAAATGCAGGCAAAGAAAGCCGTATTAAGACATCATCAGGACAGAAAAACTTCTAATAGAACATCACTCCATGAAATTTAAATGCATACTAAAAGAAATGTAAGACAACACAGTAAGGGAAGGTAATAATCAAACAGCTGATAAGATAAACAAAAGACAAATAAATTTTTTAAAAAAGATTTTGGCGATATATTGCATGTGTACACTTTCTATAAAAGAAATCTAGTGATAATTTGGATGTAAGAGAAAGATGCTGAAATATATATTATGTTTAAACAGTTTTAACTAAACTTCAAAACCAACTTTGTTTCTTTTCAAAGATTTTTTTTTTTAATTTAAAAATTTGCAAAAAAGAATTTAAACTTTATTTTGTTCATATGAAATGATTATTATAAGTTTATGTAAAATAAGAAATATTTGGAACTAACCACCAATTATATTATATAGATAATTGTATTATAATAAAAATATACAATTTTATTTTGTCAAATAAAATAAATCAGTTACATTATCATACCTAAGCCATTACATGGAAATAAATATAATTATAGATAACTAGTTGGCCCGTGCGAAAAATTCGCAGATAATTTTGTTTACTGAAGAAATATTAAAACAATCTGGAAATAAGTAGTTCCTATGTATTATGGAAGGAAGGAGTTAATATTTTTTCCTTAGTCGATAACAATATTCCATTAAAAATAATAGACCAAAATATTTAATCAAATTGCTTTGCTAGGACCTATTTTTAAACGCTGACTGGAAAGATAATAAAAGTAGTAAAGACAACATAATGCCCCTATCATAGGATATTCTAAATTATTAAATAAAATAAAATGTAACAACAACCAAATGTCTTTAAGAAATAATAAAGTTAATATAAAAGTCTGGAAAAAAAAGTGTAGCAGACTATTCTACTCCTAAATGCAATATGTTTAAACAGGAAGACATTATTGAGTATACCAAAACTAATGGACTGTACCTTTGTTAATAACTGTCCGAATTTTTCGATTTTCTTTTCTTTTTTTTTTGTAGGTAATTTAGTAATCTTTCTAATTATCATGGGTACAATCAAGAGAAAAATGCATACTAGTTATTCGCAAATAAAATTTCTTTTCTTTCATAACTTTTTTTCCAGAAATTTCGGGGTGATAGGACTATTTTTCACCTGAGGAGCAGAATATCTTCAAAATGAGTGGTCAAACATTGAATTTGATGAAGAATTGACGAAGTTATGGCGACAATAAAACACATTTTACAAATAATATATAGGATTATATAAAAATAAAAATGTACACTTTTTTTGCCAAATAAAATAAATTAGTAACATTATCATACCTAAGATATTACATGGACAAGTTATTTGTAAGGATGTCAACTTTTCTTAGGAGAATTCATAATTGTTATTTAATAACACTACATTAGAGTTAACCATTTTTAAATAATAAA